TAAGTGCAAGAGGTTTGATTGAAGCCTGCTACACCACCCAAAGAGCCCCTTCAAAAATCTACATAAGAAGCATAAGCTAAAATACTTAATATATGCTGACTGTACTTGTTGACACAAAATGCATGCTGTGAAAGGGATGACACAATTTTAAGAAACTTTTTTTCCTCCTTGACATTATCCGTATTCTTAAACTTTAATCATTTTTCATTACCTATTTTGATTGGATATTTGATTAAATAATATGGTCACGTCACTTTTTGTTTTGTAGGACTTTTGATGTGTTTTTTAGTATACTCCGTATAATTTTTATTTCTAATTTTACACTAGTAATAAAATAAAATAAATTGAAAATAATTTGAGTCAAACTTCCTAAATCAAATTTAGAAGAAAGTTTTAGGTTTGATAGAGTAGTATTAAAAATGATTCAATTACACTTTGTTGAAAAGTTTCAAAATTTTATTTCATGGTACCAATATACATCACAAATTAAGACTAATTAAACCTTACAGTTTAGGTTATTTGATTCGAATAAATCAAACGTATAATACATTTTATACTCTATTTGTACACAAATAAACTTCTCGTAGCGTGTTACGATGTTTGACCAATTTTATTTTCTAATCATTTTATATGAAAAATGGTGTAAAATTTGATAATCTCTCCGTCCTAAAACTTTCTTCCTCTAACACTATTCCAACTTTACGAGAATTTATATTTATTTGTGTTTTTTCATGGCCTATATGAGAAAATAAAATATTCTTGTCACCACTTGTTTTGTTGAACTTTTGAGTAGTTTTAAAATATGTATTATGTTTCATTTTTTATTTCTATACCAATATTTAAATAAAATAGATTGAAAAAACTTGGGATTTTTCTACGTTTTGCGCAACGGGAAGAAAGGTATAGGACGGATACATTAAAAAATTATATCAAAAGATTTACAAAACTAGAGATGATATGAAAAACTAAGAAAAAAACGTGAATTGAACACTTGAACCCCAAGATTTAGTTCAGGTTTCTGCAAACAATTCGTGCACTTTTTCCTTTGTATGGGAAGGTAACATAATTTATTTCAAGTTTCTTTCTTTTTGGATCTTACTAGATTTTTCACGGCAAGAAAATTTATTTCTTAAAAAAATAAGAAATTATTAAAATTTTATATAAATTAATTTTATATAAATGAGAATTAATTGTAACATAGAAAACAATATGGGTATTTTTTGTTAGGAGAAAAAAGTTCAATAAACAACATTATATTATCCCAGTGTCATAAAATGCAATGGCTATTACCTCCTCTGTCTCATTTTAAATTGCCTGTTTGTCTTTTTTCTCCGTCCCAAAATAAGTTGCATGTTAGTTGTTTTCGTAAACTTTTAAAAATAAAATACCTAAAATAAGTCACTCTTCTTCACCTTATCTTCTCATTCATCATCACCCATCCTAAAAAATAATGTCAATTTTGAAAAATCAACTCTATTTTTTATTTTCCAAAATTTGCTCAAAAATCAAAACAGACGGTTTAAATTGGGAGGGAAGGAGTAGAAAAAATATACTGTAATGTTTTTGGTAGTACATTCTACACAAACTAATGTAAATTTTTTCCAATTGATAGCACTAAACTAACAAAATTACAAATTTAAAAACTTGTAAAAAACTTTTTATTCTATTGTAACCACCATTCAAAATTGAGGTTATCGATGAATATAAGAATGGAGAACTTGATAGAATATTCGCATGAAAAGAAGCTTCTCTTTGAGTTATAAAACAATAGAAAGAAAAAATGTCGCTAAGATAAATAATACTACCTCCGTCCCATTGTCTTTGTCCATCTTTGACTTTTGGAATTGTTCATCTAAGCACTTTGACTCATCAAATTCTCTCAATGTGTAAGCCTAAAAATAGTCATGTGTGATCTTGTTTGTTCGTCTTAACATATAGATTATTAATATATATTTTTTATAATTTTTTAATATACAAATTATAAGATAAAATGAATTAAAGAAGTGCATTGGATGGTGTGCCAAAAGGTAAGTGGACAAAGACAGTGGGACGGAGGGAGTACATCACTAACAATTAATGTTAAGTTGTCACATTTAAAATAGAGAGGCATAAATTTTTTTCCTGAATGCAAGTATTCAATCCAAAATGTTGCATCCACGGCTATTATGATTTAATTTCCTCCGATCAAGATGCCTGCACAAGTTGAATGCAACAATAGAAATCAATAAATGAAAATAGTTGAATGAGATTGTAAAACAGCAAGCACTTCAAAATATTATAACAAATAGGGAGTAATTCTTTGTGCTAATTAATTATTCTTCATGTGCTCATAAACAAATCCCCCCTACACATTGAATTCTACTCCATTGGATATAATATTCTGCAAATGACATATAATAGATGATAAACAAATTGGATATATGTCTTTTAATAAATAATGCTAATTGATCTTTTATTTTTGGATAGAGAGCAAAACCCAATGTAGTTTCAACATTATGTTCCTCGACAAACATATCAAGTACACAAACTGACAGCCTAAGAAATAGGCCACATTTTTTACGGAAATCCATGAGATGTTCTTTTATAAAGATGAAAGATCAAATGCAGAATGCAAGCATTTCTCTACAACATTATTCTTACACTATGATTGGTTCGTGGAGTTTGGAAAAAAATAAAAGCAAAATTGTTTTCTCTCATTTTCCCCTCCAAAATGGGAGAAATATGGTTTTTCCTCCCCTTATAATATTTTGTCTCCTCATTTTCGGATTTTCCTTTCCTTATACTTTTCTTTTCCTTTCTAACCAAACATGAAAAATAGTTTTTCCTCTCATTTTCTACTCTTTTTCCTTTCAAATTCAATAAACCAAACATAATGTTAGTGTATTCCAACTCTGTTACCCTATGTTTGGTTCAAGAAATTTGAAAGGGAAAAGAAAGGAAAAATGGGAGGAAAAGAAATTAAGAAGGCAAAATGTATTAAAAGAAAGAACACTAAATTCTTTCCATTTTAATGAGGAAAGTGTGAGAAAATCATTTCCTTTTATTTTCCTTCCAAAATTGTTGAACCAAACATAGTGTTAGTCTCAAATCAAAATGAACCCAATCTTACCCCAGCTCTCTGGGCATTGCAAAAACAGCTGAAGAAAATTAAGAGTACAATTACCATAAGTTAATACCGTATTTAGATCATGAGAAAATGCCTGCCATATCCTTATTGTTCCATCCTAAGATTTTCTCCTTGGAGAGAAAACACACAGTGCATATGACAATGGTGACCCGTGTTGCATCCTATCATTTCTCTTGTTTGGAAATAAAAAACATGAACCCACATAACTTGCCATCCACCGATTATAGCTATTGATCAAACGGACTAAAAGCCACTGGTTATAGTAGAAACAATTACATATGTTGAAACTTTGAAAATAATTGAACCACCCTAGGTCATCTAAGAGCCATAGAGCTACCTGGATAGGATTTGGCATAGACTTATACACACATTTAGATGCACTATACATTTTTACTAAGGTGCTCAGCATTACAAAAAAACTAAGGTGCTCAGCATTATCAAGGAATATACAGCAATAAACAGCAACTGTATTCCGAAATTCTATATACAACTACAATGTTTCCAATAAGCTAAGGTGCTTGGCACTATCAAGGAATGATTCTTAAAATGTTTTTAATGAATCTTTCCTCATATTTCTTTTCTAAAATCACATAAGAGAAAATGGTAAATATTTATCATATTATTGAATTGGGTTTGTGAGAGAAACTAAGTCATGAAATATTTATCAATAATATGTTGTAAACAAACTATTTTTAGCTAAATATGTCATTAATCTAAAAATCAAACCTTTCTTGCATCCACACCAACTATAAAAGAATTAATGTGATAATGAGAATCAAACATATACTCCGTACTTATTAGCCCCCATTGGGTAATCAGTCTCTCAACAACATGTTTGAGTTTTGTTGGATCATTTTTTCTAAAGTAACTCTAATTAGTTTTTTAAGTTTGATTACTTCAATTTTCAGATTGTTTGATTTGTTTATTTCTCATTGAATTTGTTTTGTTTAATTTGCAAGTCTAGGCAACATTGGTGGAAGTTCACAAATGATGATAAATGGGACACATTTGTCTATTGATGATGATGGAGCTATTGAATGGATGATTGTAAATCACTTGGAGCTATTGAATGGAGCTTTGTAATCGGTTGTTTATTTCTTCTTTTCATTCATTTCCAAACTTTTAGGTTTGTGTTACTATGTTACACTTTTTGTTTCTAAATTTTTCACTACAGTTTAGTTATTTTTGCAAGTAGAGTGCCTTATGAATTTTCTAGTTTATTTGTGTGTATAAAAGTGAGTGCTGCAACATTAGGTTGTGCAATTTTTGCTCTGTATGTGCTTGGTTCAAAGATCTTGAAAGAGAAAAGAAAATAAGAGAGAAAAAGAAAAGAAAATAAGAAGGCAAAATGTGCTAAGAGAGGAGAAAACCAAATTCCTTTCATTTTAGTAAAAAAAATCCGAAAAAATCATTTTCTTTTTTTTTCCATCCAAACTCCTCGAACCAAACATAATGTAGATGTGTTGTGCTTAATAATGATAACTTTGAATATTTTCGGGCTTCAAAATTGATAATAATGAATAAAATATGAAAAAACTTATATATTATAAAAGATCAATTATAATATATGTTTTGGTTTGAAAAAACAAAAACTTTAATTATATATTTATTTTTTCTTGAGTGTAACTTTTACTTTTTATTTTCCTACCAATTTGTAAATAAAATAATTTTAAAAAAATTAATATTTTGCACGTCCTTTAAAATGTAGCAATGAGAGAGTATTAAATAAGCATGGAGTAGTTTTTTTTAGAGAAAATAAAACGTGCCATTAACGAATTAAGTGTACATGCAGGCAGATCGGATGGCCAAACATTGTTTCCGTCCTCAAGAATTCTTAGCTAAAACATGTGCAATAGAATTAAAACGCCTTGAAAAGTAACAAAAATGAACAGCATGGAGTAGTTAATACTAGTGGAAACAACAAATGTTTGGATAAAAGAGGACAACACTCAAAGAGCGCCATAAATACATAATGTAAATGTCATATTAATCAAACAAGACATTGTTTTTTTTTTACTTCTTTCGATCAATTAATCATAGCAAGCTGCAAATGGTTAATAAAACGCTTACGGCGACATGTCCATAGGTGTAGGGATTGACCCAAAAGCACTCCCAAAATACTCCTAAAACAAATAGTGCACAACAATAAGATAATCAGCATAAAAATATGATCCAAAATTATATATTATCCCACCTCATTGATCAGCCCACATTTTCAGATCAATTTTTACACTCATTTATGAATCCCCTACTCTCATTTAATTCTTAAACAACTATCAATTACACAGTTTAACATTCTAAATTCCATGTAAAGAAAAAAGGGAGATTAAAAATACAAACGAATACTCTGCAATCTGGACCGTCTTACAGTAGCACTCCCAATAATTCACATTTATAAAACATGCTCCGAACATGTGGCCGAATCAGTGAGGTCACAAAAACAAAATTGCCAAAAACAGCATAGGCACAACGAAAGGATGAATTTCGTTATGATCAGAGCTTTATAGCATGGATAATCTCTAGGGAGCATTCTTGTGTAACATTTTTATCTGACGGTCCACACTTGGACTGAATTATTCGTGTGCCTTTCGCATTAATCGTTTTTGTGTTTTATAATTTTATGTCTAAACTTGTGCTTTGTGCATAATTTTATTGCATTGAAAGAATGAATTACCTCATCTTCATCTAAATCACTCCCCCCACTGTGCTGATCATGTTGTTTTCGCTTGAGGCTGGAAAATGCAAATAAGCGGAGTTAGCAACAAGAGAAGATACTTGTAGGTTCAGTAACAGCTCGACAAGCACTCTATGAGGCACAAAAAGCCATTACCCCACTTTTTCTACCATAGACAAACAAGTGTATTTATACTCATTTTATTTTTAAATGCAAAACAGCAACCCTAGTATAATCCCAACTCAATGACGTGTTGTGAGCCACAACAAGTACGCAACCGAGATTCACTTGATGCCCAGAACTTCATAAAATGTAAGAAGTAAATGTAATGTTTTTTAGATTAAGGCTTCGTTTGAAAAGGAGGAAAATTACTTCTGGAAGTCATTTTCCTATTTTCTGATGTTAGGTAAGGTTGGAAAATGGAAGTCAACAGAAAATAACCATTGGTCAAAAGGAAAATCAGGTCTAAAATATGGAATTCGACTTCGCCTTTTAAAGCCCGGAAGTCATTTTCCATAGCTGGCTACTACGTCTTTTTCTTTCTTTCATCTTTCTCTGTTTCTCTTCGAGGTGTCATCCTCTCTACTTTTCTTTCTCGCCAATTCTTCGTCGTTCTCATTCCATCAAGTGGAATCGCAACTAGAATCCACACCAGATAGATTTCATATACAAGTCGCAGGGTTTGGGCTATCCTCAAACATCAATTCCTCATATATCTGTAGTTTAATTTTGGAGATTACTTGAATCGCAACTAGATCCCCTTTTCAATCTATACTTTGTATTTAATTTTTCTTGGATGATATCTACATGTAATGTATATGTGTATAACCTATGTGATGTAGAATTGGATTTTGGATATGGTTGCGATGCAATGGATTTAGGTTTCTTGATTTTTTCTTTTTTGCATTACAATATAGTAATATTTTCTTTTCCAGAGATTAGCCAAACTGAACTAGATGATTTTCAGACTTTAGGCCAAACACCAGAATAGAAAATGATTTTAGGAAAATAATCCATTTTCCAGAAGTCGTTTTCTTAAAGTCATTTTCCAGATTTCCAAGCGGAGCCTAAAATAATGAAACGACTCTCAATTCTCACAACTTTCCAACCCTGCAAAATGTTATATTGCTATTATCCATCAAATTCTCACTCACGAAAACAAAGTTCTACTTCACTTTTGTTGACTATTGACTACAACAATTGATGTCTAAAGTTAAGTGTGGAATACTGCAATATTATTTTACACTGTAATTTTATGACTATACTCATGTTAAACTTTTCTTTGGATGCGCATAAATTTTAGGACTAAAGAAAAAAATACCTTCTCTGCGTCCGAATCACTCCACCCTTCATGCAATCCTGCATCAACGATAACTTCAAAACAATCAACAGCAAACCAAATACATTGTGCAATGAATTGGGATCCTTTGTCTTGTATTTTGCTTAGATTATTGTCATCACTCTCTCCAAATCAGCATAGACGTAAGTACGTAACAAAGGGATGAACTTCGTTGTCATTTGATTTTTTTGTGGAGGGTAATCTCTTGGGAGTATTCTTGTACAATATTAATTATGTCAGTAATTGTACTAGATGGTCCTAACTTTGGAGTATTTATGTACATTTTCGATTAAATTTTATTAATCATATTATTTATCTTCACTGCATAGTGTTTTACAATTATATATCTAAACTCGTCTTGGACTCTTGGACTTCTTTTTGTACATTTTTATTACAATCAAAGAATGAATACCTTGTCTTTGTCTAGACCTCTCCACCCATCGTGCCTGCATCAACAATAATGACAAACTCATCAGCAGTAAACCCAATATATTGCACAATTAATCGAGATTCTTCATCATTCATCAAGATTTTATTGTTAACACTTTGACGTCAAAAAATTGGTTCTTGGTCAAAGTATAGACAGACCGATCGTCACAAAGAGCGGGCCAATTGTGAATGGTGGGAGAGGTTGCTTCCATTTGATTCTCGATGCATTTCATGCCCAAAACTTCTTAGAATCCTCATAAGCACTTTTTCCTATAAGTTCCACTAGTTACCCTTCATCATCAAACAATATTGTACAAGTGCTTTCAAAAAGTCCTTCAAAATCATAGGTCCTAAG